GAGCAGGGAGCCCGATGCGGGACTCGATCCCGGGACTCCAGGATCATGACCTGAGCCGAAGGCAGTCGCTTAACCAACTGAGCCACCCAGGCACCCCTATACCCAGCTTTTTTAAAGGCAGAGCACAACTACAATCTTATTAATCAATGACACATTTACAAGATGTTCCGATATATGCAGAGATGACAGGAGAAACAAAACACTACAATCTGCATTCAAACAAGGTAATATAGAGCAGGTTAGCTTGCTATTAATCTCCTTTGTGATAATATTTACATATAAACACATTTGGATGTGTATGTTTGTGTTACAGTTTAAAATATACTAAAAACCAAAATAAAAGTTAAAATCACCAATAATGAGACACACTGACATCATGAGTGATGTGATGAAAGTTAGAAAGGTAGAACATCCCTTACCTTAGAGAGATAGAACATCCTTAGAAAGATAGAACATCCCTTACCTGCTAAAAATGCATCCACTGAATCTGATCATGAAGAAACATCACATAAACTCACATTAAGGGACATCCTACAAAAAAACGATCTTTTCTCTTGAAAAATATCAATGGCTTGAAAGTAAAGGAAGGCTGAGGGGCTGGTTCAGGTTAAAAGGCCCTGAAGAGGAGCACCTGGGTGGCTCAGTTGGTTGAGCGACTGCCTTCGGCTCAGGTCATGATCCCGGAGTCCCTGGATCGAGTCCCTGGATCGAGTCCCGAGTCTCTCTCTCACAAATAAATAAATAAATAAATCTTTAAAAAAAAAAAAAAAGGCCCTCAAGAGATGCCACAACTAAAGGCAGTATGTGACCCGGACTGGGTCTTTAACCAGAAAAATGTAAAGGATTCTTAACTATAGGAAACAAACTGAGGGTTGCTGGAGGGGAGGGGGGGAGGGTTGGGGTAACTGGGTGATGGGCATTAAGGAAGGCACGTGATGTAATGAGCACTGGGTATTATATACAACTGATGAATCACTGAACTCTACCTCCAAACTGATAATATATGTTAATTAATTGAATTTAAATAAAATAAAATTTTTAAAAAAGGAAAAATGTAAAGGACATTATTGGGACAATCAGTGAAACTTGAATACAGACTATAAATTAAATAGCATAGCATCGCTATTAGTTTTCCTGAATTCAATCATTGTACTGGGGTTCTGTAAGAGAATGTCATTATTCTCAGGAGATATGTTCTAAAGTATTTAGGGGTAAAGAGTATAATGTCTCAAACTGGCAAAGAAAAAGAATAATAATACATGTGGCATGTATATATATGCATATATATATATATATGTAGAGAGATATAAGTGAATAAAGCAAATGTAGGAAGATGTCAGTGATTGGTGAATATAGAGAATATATGGGAGCTTTTATAGAAAAGTTCTTGCAACTCTTCTATAAGTTTGAAATGATTTCAAAACATAAAGTTAAAAATCAAATAATAGTCTAAAACTGTCCTAACATAAAAATGTTTATTTTCGGGCGCCTGGGTGGCTCAGTTGGTTAAGCGACTGCCTTCGGCTCAGGTCATGATCCTGGAGTCCCGGGATCAAGTTCCGCATCAGGCTCCCTGCTCGGCAGGGAGTCTGCTTCTCCCTCTGACCTTCCCCCCTCTCATGTGCTCTCTCTCTCTCACTCTCTCAAATAAATGAATAAATAAAATCTTTAAAAAAATGTTTATTTTCAAGGAATCAAATAACACTTAGAGGTGAAAGTCACATCAGACGTTTGCAGATACTCCACAACTGAAAAATCAGCACACACTTTGAAAACTCTGGTATGGACTATCTGTAAACTCTGCTTGCCGTAGATATGCTAGGAGGTTATAAACACTGAACAGACAATTCTAAACACGAAAAATAATTTTTTAATTTAATTTTTTATTTTTTTAATTAGCATGTAATGTATTATTTGTTTCAGAGGTACAGGTCTGTGATTCATCAGTCTTACACAATTCACAGCGCT